AACTACAAAGTTTAGATAACCAAGAAGATTGGATTTGAAATTTGAACAAATACCTGAAAACTAACTAACTAATAGCTCTCATAAATATTGTAGAACATATGTCAGGCTCTAAAAGTATTTTAAACCTTCTAGAAGATATAAAATGTGAATAAAATATGAATAAACAGAGTAAAATTTTTCCCATCTTATTTAGCCCCTCTTTTTCTTGTAGTAGATGTTCTGTTTCATCTTAGTCTAGTACTTGATTCACCAATTTTAGAGTTTGAAAATATGAATAATCTCCTCCTCTTCATGCACAATTTTTTCTACACTCTCTTGCCATCTTGAATTGAAGGAACTTTTCATTCATTTTGAATATTTGAAATAAAAGTCATATTTAAACAATGTAATTATTAAAATATGTGCATAGAGTAATCTAAAGAAAAGATCTAATAGCAAAAATAATTAAAGTTACACATAAATAGCAATATAATGAAACTTATACCAAGTGTGCTTGAGTCGTTGACAGTAGATGAAAAAAAGTTTGATAGGATAGTGAAGTAGAGATATTTAGAGATTGGAAAGAGGTTAATATAGTTTGCTGTGGAAAAGCAGGAGTAGTATTTAACATAGAGTTTAATTGGTTTAAATTTTTGTAGAGGTTAACTGGTTTAAATTTTAGATAGTTCAAGAGATTGGATTTGGTAATAGTTTTTCAAATTCATAGAGATGTCTGATAATTAACAACTTGGTTGAATGTAATTTTAAAAGTGACCAAAGTTTGGATGACCAACGTTTATGACCAACAAGATTAATTTTAATAATAATCCTTGAAATTTGTACAGATAAGTGATAACTAATTAACTAATCCTTTAGTAAGTAGATTGAATTTAATATTCTTTGAAATTTGTACAGATAAGTGATAACTAACTAACTAATCCTTGGGCAAAAAACCTCAACGGCCATTAAACTATTAACGGGGTCATGTTTTGGCCATCGAACTATTTTTTGTCAATAATTGGCCATTAAACAATTTAATCCATAAATCCGTGACCATTTCGTCGTTAATTGCTCTTAATCTCTGAAATTAGCATTACACGTGGCAATATCCGAGGCAATTTTGTCCAACAATTTCTTCCTGCTTCCCTCCCTGGCCTTCGTAGTTTCCGCTTCCCCACTCCTAAAACCTCCCTACCAACGCCACCACTGACCACCATCTATTTACACACACAACACACACTCACTCACTCACTCACTCATCTACATCCACCACCATCGCCACCATCACCATAACGTCATGGAGAGCTCTGTTCTCCACTCTCCATTCTTGTCCTCCACCTCCTTTTCTCGCGTGTCCATCCACCACTTGCAACCACGGCTTTCCACCGCCCTCCCCCGAATCTCATCCTCCCTTAAACCACCACTGCTTTCCATCTCCGCACCCAAATTCTCTCTTCAAAATTTCTCCCATTCACCCCCTAAACTCCTTTACAAAAAACTCTCTCCCCCCCACTCCTCCACTAACGACAATGCACCCTCCACCACCGAGCTAAAAACCGTCGCCCTACAAGGTGCAAAGATCATCCCTTTAATCATTTCAGTCTCCATTGGACTAATTGTCCGTTTTCTAGTACCCAAACCCCCAGAGGTCACCCCTCAGGCGTGGCAGCTCTTATCAATCTTTCTTTCTACAATTGTTGGCCTCGTCTTGAGCCCACTACCCGTGGGAGCCTGGGCGTTCTTGGGATTAACTACCTCAATTTTGACGAGAACTCTCCCCTTTACAATCGCTTTTAGTGCATTTACTAACGAAGTTATTTGGTTGATTGTCATTTCCTTCTTTTTCGCTCGCGGGTTTGTGAAGACAGGGTTGAGGGATCGAATTGCTACCTATTTTGTCAAATGGCTGGGGAAAAGTACTTTGGAATTGTCTTATGGATTGACTTTGAGCGAGGCAACTCTGTTTGGATTGTAAATTATTTGAGATATTTTTACTGTAGCACTTTTTGTGATGTGATGTATGTGAGATAAAAAGGTAATTGGGAAGATAAAAAGGTGTGTTGGAAATTGTAATAATGATGTAAGCAAATAAATTTTGGCAAATAATCCTCAATCCAAACAAATTAGTAAATTGCTGGACAAAATTGCCCCGAATATTGACACATGTAATGCTAATTTCAGAACTTAAGAGCAATTAACGACGAAATGATCACAGATTTACGGATTAAATTGTTTAGTGGCCAATTATTGACAAAAAATAGTTCGACGGCCAAAACATGATCCCGCCAATAGTTTAATGGTCGCTGAGGTTTTTTGCCCTTGAATTTAATAGTACTTTGAAGTTGATGAAATTGATACATATTAGTGATAACTAACCTACTAATTCATTTAATGAAAACAAGTAGATTTGATTTAATAGAACTCTTTGACTTTAGTACACATAACTAACTAACTAATAAACACATATGTACTAAATGTGTAGAGGTGTGCCAAGAGAGTTCCTTTTTTTGTGATGTGGCAAAATATTATTGGACAATTTGTGGTCGTCCTTGTCCGTGAGAATTGAACGTGTTTGTGCAAAAAAAAATTCCGAATGGGAATGTTATTATTGTATTTTTAAATGAATGCTACATGCCATCACTTTCCTTGCATGCGATTGGACCCCTTTAGTATTTCTGTTTTGGCTTTCCCAAGATGTATTGGGAGTTGATTGTCATCATCGTAATAATTGTTCAGTTGACTATAAGGGCAATTGTATTACAATTTTGCCCTCCCATCATATCTTTCTTGCCGATGACAACAAATTCATTTTGGTTTTACCGTTGTCTTCATCCTTTTTGTGGTCAGATCAAGAGGTAAAATTCTATTTACCTTTGGGTTGTATTTGTAAAAAACACATCCATTACTGTTGACGGCTATTGAAACTTGAAAGAAACTGCTAGATCTGACTGTAGTACTTTCTTTGTTCTGTCCAAAAACTCACCGCTGCAGCTAAAGCTATGCATTCTTGCCCGGATTTTCTGCTCACACTCATGGTTAGTGATGTGTTTAGTTTTTGCATCCCTTTTTTGTATTATTGTTTATAGCACGATAGTCTATCTTCCCTCGTACATGATTGTGTGTTTGCCAGTTGCTTTGGTTAGTTCTTATTTTCTCTTTTTCTGCTCTGTTTTTTCGAAGCGTCTTCTTCGTTTTGCTCTTGTTGATACAGATTCGTCAGGTGAGCTTTTTCTTTTAGTGAACTATTTCATCTATAATCCTGTTTATTCCAATATGTTTTTTGGTCCGTCATTCATCGACTAATTCAGGTTTACTTTCTCTGTTTATGGGTGTTTTCTATTTTGCCGTTGCATTAAGGTAAGGCTATTTTAAATTTTCTATCTTCTTTGATTCTTTGTTCTACCTTTCATTTGTCCATTGTTTGTTCTTATTTGTGTTCTGCCTTTTTCTCCTCTTTTCCCTTTACATTTTGCATGCAGCTTTCTTCATATGTGGTTGCTGTAACGAGCTTTCTTTCTTCGTCATCTTGTGTTATATATTTGGAGCCCGTATTGATTCAGGTTAGCTGATCATTCTCTCTCTTTTTTTTTAGCTTTTTGTTCTAACAGTTTTTTGTTTCTTGTATTGATAAACTGCTACAAGAACATAGAATCTACTGTTAAAAATAAGAACTTTAATTATGAGACTTGAAACCCTTCAAGACTTCAATTTGATTAACGTTTATTGATTATCATATCTAAAATCGTACTTGATCTTCACATAAGAAGATGTTACCCTTTTTTCCTTTCTTTTAAAGCAAAATTTTTTCAGCTTGATAATAAGACTGGAAGAAGAAGGGGTTCATTAATAATAGCTGGGACAAGTGATAAGAAATGTACCATGAATGATTGATAGAAGCTAGGGAAAGTTATAATCAAGAAATTAAGAAGATAATGAAAGATGTAATGAAAGATGTGAAGCTTTTTATTATTTTCTGAGGAGCAAAAATGTTAAGTGTTATCCTTGGAAAATTGGCCATTTGGAGCAGTCAATTTGAACCAAGAACAAAGCTCGTATTGAGCCAACTCCCCCATCCATGGGAGACATTGTGAGCACTCTTCTCTCACAAAATTGTAGCAAATGTTGCTTAATCAAGAATCATTACAATTGATTACTTAGAAACATATATGAATTCAAGAGTCCTTTATGCCTTGTAGAAGTATATACTCTATCTTTCCTTCCATTTGGTTCTGTACTGGTCTCCAGGTCTTCCGACTTTCACTGGAAATCAGAAACTGCTCCACCAAGTCTTACCCACTCCAATCTCCAAGCGTCCCCCTCTCCCCTTTGTTTTCCCTTTTCCTTTTCTCAATCAATCAATCTTACTCTGCTCTTTTGCCCCTCTTCGCTATTTTTTTAACACAAGTCAATATTCTTCTCTCCATCTCTCTCTTTTTTTGTTTTTTGTTTGTCTCTCAAGTCCACTGCATTCTCCATTTTAATTTTGTGTATGCTGTTTTTGCCCCCTCTTCGCTATTTTTTTAACACAAGTCAATATTCTTTTCTCCATCTCTCTCTTTTTTTGTTTTTTGTTTGTCTCTCAAGTCCACTGCATTCTCCATTTTAATTTTGTGTATGCTGTTTTTGCCCCTTGATTAAATTTTCTTTTATTCTCTATTAAATTTTATTTGCTGTTCTAGACTTCCAGTTGATCTCATCTCAAGCGGACTCTCAGGCAGACAGACACCCAAAAAGACTCCAACTTTCACTAATGGCGACTATCCGAATGATTGGCAAGTTACCCTTTTCTGTATTTGTCTTGAATAAGGCACCGAGTCATTTTAATCATGTTTAATGATATAGTATTTGTGGGGTTTTAACTTGAACAGATATAGCAGTCAATCTCACTGGTATGTCAAATCTTAAATCTTTCTAAAACACTTTCCGTGAAACATAGTTTTTTCAGTAAACCTACTTTTAATGCATAAATGAATCTCAATTACAGATGGTATGTTCAAAGAAATATACAACGGCAAGAAATACCATGTGGTAGATATTGTTGCAGTACTTAGCAGGGCTTGGAGTGCCGGTGTTGATCGAATTATTGTAAGTATATATCCCTGAACAAAACTTTGATCTTTTTCATACGGATATGTCTCGTGCGACTATTTTTCTGGTTGGTATTACTATTAACTTGTTGCAAAGGATAAGTTTGCAGCCTATTAGTAGGGTTTCTTTTTTTTCTTTTTTTTTCAGGGGTTGGGAAAGGAGTATCAGCGGTCCCACAAAATGAAACTCTACTTGTAGTTAGATAGATGGTATTATTAACTTAGGCTATTTGATAGTTTGGCTTGCTCAATAAATTGAGAGAATATGAACTTTGGGTCTTTTGAAGTTCCACTTTTGTAGAAGTTCAACCTCTTGTTCTAATATCATAGAGGATGGATGAGCTTGTAAAATTTGCTGATTTGTAATTCATTCCGTTTTATTGGAGTAACAGAACTGAGAGGTTTATTTCTTGTTGGTAAGGTTGGTTATTTGCCTTCTGTAATCGGGATTAATCATGCTAAATGATTCTTTAATTGTCTTGCGTTTTCTGTCCTAGGTTACTGGTGGATTTCTAGAGGAATCAAAAGAAGCTCTTGCTATTGCTGAAACTGATGGTTAGCCAGACACGTTTTCCTTCGTTAGATTTTTCATCTTTCTCTGCCATTTGTCTCTCGCTTGGCGCCTTGTACCCTATATTTTTTGGCAATCCATTTTCCCTTGCAGCAAGACTTTTTTGCATGGTTGATGTGCACCTAACAAGATGCAAAGTGACTGTTGATACTCTTCTGAATGCCATCCTTAAGTTATTGAATGTGTGAGAATAAGGATGAATGGATACATTTGTGATCGATTCAGGAATTTGATAAGAGTGGGGATCCCGAAAAGCATTTTCAGTCTCTTCTCTCATTGACTAAAGAGGGGGTTGAGAAAGGAAAGGTAAACTAAAGTGCTGCATTTAGAAGAACATAGAAAAGATTACTTTAGATACATGTATCTTCCTCAATTTTCTTAATGCGACAATTTAATTTTTGTAAGGTGGCAGCAATTGGTGAATGTGGACTGGACTATGACAGGCTTCATTGCTAAAAGAATCCAATGCCAGATGATTTGGGGAAGCGTAGGGGAATCCAATGCCATAAACATTGCTAAAAGAATTGGCTTTGATGAGAAGATAATTAACTGTGCCCAAGCATGGATAAACAAGTTGACCCCACAGAAGGTACAGATGCAGAAAGATTTGCTGCACCAGTGACTAATGGAAGAAAGAAGTAGATTAGAAATTCAAGCAAATAAAGTTGCATCTCTTCACTCGGATATTATGAGCATTTATTATGAGGTATGCATAAGTTGCATAATTGTAAATATTTAATCTTTGAGGAAAGAGATACTTGTTATGAGACAATATGCAATGAAAATGTTTTTCTCCTATTTTATTGCAGTCCTGGATTACCATATCTAGCCTGCTTCCTTCATTTATGTTTATCATCACATAAGTTGCACAGAAAGCTGAAGCACTTGCATACAGCACTAGTGTAACGTGTTTGCTCGTATTGGTGGGCAAGGAATGGCTTTTCTCTCTTCTTGGCAACTTCTGTTGCCCATGATATCTATCATTTTTTATTTTAATTTCTTATCCTATACATGTATCCATTTATATAAGTGTGTTTTATTTATACACTACATGCTATTACATATAGGTGAGTACATCATATAATGTACAAGAGTATTTTTCCCCTTTTGTTTCACTTCAACTTTTAAAAGGGGTGGAAAGTGGTGAATACTCTTCTTTGTTACCTCACAGTTTGCACCCTCTTTTGCTTCATAACTTTCTGTTTACTCCATTTTTCCTTCCTAAATTGAAGATAATAAATGCGGCAGATGACTTTGAAGGGCGTGAGACAGCTCTTGAGACCAAGGAGAGCCAACAGATCCAACAGGAATTGAAGGCTGTGAAGAAGGAAATTTAAGATATAGTGCATGAATTTGAAAACCAACTTAAAAATGTTGATGCAGATAAGTACAATCTGTTGCTGAAGAAAGCAGAGTCTGCAATTGCATCCCTTGTTGAAGCTCATCAGCCTACTGATGGTCTTTCTATTGGGAATACGGACAGCAGGTTGTATGTACCACAGCCTGGTGAGCAAATGTATGTCAAGGGACTTGGGAAAAAGTTGGCTACTGTAATTGAAGCACCTGGAGATGATGACATGGTCCTTCTCCAACATCGAAAAGTCTGAGTACATGTGAATAAACACAGTGTAGGAGCTCTTGCAAATACTGGTATTAGTGGTGGAACAGCTTCTAATCAGGTGTGAGGAGTAATATCAAATTTTTTAATTATTGGCGATTATTCCAAAGTTCTTAATATATTGTCCCTACGCATGATGCTATGAATTGTTCAGCACTTTTTAATAATGCTACTCTATTAAATGATTATCCTTTTTTTTTTGGTCAGTCAACTTTTGGGAACACACATTATTCATCAACTTCTCAATTTGGACATATCATGGACAGTTGTTCTGAAATTGGATATTAATTGCAAGAGGAAACTAGTACTGCATGTGGACATTAGCTCTCGGCATCAGTTAAACAGAAGACAATGGGCATTTTTTCTGCACAATTGCCTAAATGTTTTTCGTATATTTCATAGCACAATGCTCTCTATTTGGGAAGCAATGTGATATATGGGTATCAACAGACAACCTGCTACTGCTTTGTGGAAAGGCTTCTACATTGCATAGATTAGCTGATGCTTTCAACCTTTGACTGGAACATATGTTGCCCTGTAATGTTTGTTTACCTCCAAAGCCAACAGTTAGACATCCTTGCGTGCTTCACCTAATTATGATTAGCTTGCTTTATGTCAATTAATCGTTCTATATTGGAAAGTTAAGACACTAAATGTGTTTCTTATGGAACCCAAGGGACTGAATTGGTGCAAACTCCAACTATTAGGTACTAAAGTTATTAGACATTTAAAGAATTGTCTTTTGGTTTGAGGATTTTCATTCTGAATATAACTTTCATTTATATCATCTTCCATCAGGTGTAATTGATTGATCTGCATTGTACTTATTAGTTGAATGTTGTGATTCTCTATACTACATCAATTTTGAGATTAAAATGATCAACTATTTGTTGGAGCATACACTACTAAATCTGATGGCAGAGGGTGTACCTGTTAACATTGTAGGGAGTTATGAGAACTCTCAGAAGCCTTAGAAGCTTCTCCAGAACGAGCAATAGTGAGGAGGTTTCCTATGGACTTGTGTTTCAAACATCCAACAATACAGTTTCTTATTAGCTTACTCAGCAACACTGGGCATGTCAGTCTTTGAAATTTACACCGCGCGTAGGCGCGGTGAGCACCTCCTAGTACCTTTGCTAAACGTTTTAAGAGTAACCAAAATTTTAAATAACCAAGGAAATTGGATTTGAAATTTATACAAATACCTAAAAACTAACTAATTAATAGCTCTCATCCACATTGTAAAACATATGTTAGACTCTAAAAGTATTACGAATCTTCTAGAAGATGTAAACTTGTGAATAGATATATAAACTAGCTTTATAACCTGCGCTACGCACGGGAATTATTAAATTTTTAAAAAAGAATTAAAATTTAAAATAAAGATGTAATAGTAAATAAAAAATTATCTAAAATCCTTACAATGAAATGCAATTCAAACTAAGAGTGCATGAAATTTTTGTGAAATTGTGTAAATATTAATTCTTTTCTAAATTTGAGATTATGCTAGAAAGATATAGGCATATTTTTCTATAACATTTAATTTTCAACAATTGTGGTTACAACTCTTTTCAGGACCCTCGCACATCTATATCCATATGTATTGCAGAAGGGATTTTTAGCAGAGACCCTCTCAATGGCTTCCAAACTTCTCATTCTTTTTTCTAGATTTTTGTATTTATTTTAATACATAAAAAGTAGTGGGTTATAACCAACCCTATCACCAATCAAATTTAAAATTTAAAACATTCTCACTATCTACCTTATAAACCGTTTATAGTTTGTTATTTTATACTTTAAATCTTTTTTACTCCTTAATTAAAGAGAAATGCTCATTTGTATGCTATTTTAATATAATGTTACATTTTTATAATTAAGAAATATTTATCACCACACTAACTCTATAACCACCCCTACAAATGATCTTAGCAAATTACAATCACGTTTCAAAAAAATCACAAATGTGCAACTAAATGTAAAGTTGAGGGGGTAAAGTGCAGTTAAATATAAAATTAAGGGGCTTACTATATTTAACCCTAAAAAAAATCCCAAGAACGGAACAAGTAGTGGGTTATAGATTTTTGTCTAGATTTTTGTATTTATTTTAATACATAAAAAGTAGTGGATTATAACCAACCATATCACCAGTCAATTTTAAAATTTAAAACTTTCCCATAATCTACTTCATAAACCATTTATAGTTTGTTATTTATACTTTAAATCCTTTTTACTCCTTAATTAAAGATAAATGCTCATTCGTATGCTATTTTAATACAATATTACATTTTTATAATTAAAAAATATTTATCACCACACTAACCCTATAACCACCCCTACAAATGATCTTTGCCAATTACAATCACATTTCAAAAAAATCACAAATGTGCAACTAAATGTAAAGTTGAGGGGGTAAAGTGCAGTTAAATATAAAGTTAAGGGATTTACTATATTTAATCCTAAAAAAAATCCCAAGATCGGAATAAGTAGTGGGTTATAAATTTTTGTCTTGATTTTTGTATTTATTTTAATACATAAAAAGTAGTGGATTATAACCAACCCTATTACCAGTCAATTTTAAAATTTAAAACTTTCCCATAATCTACTTCATAAACCGTTTATAGTTTGTTATTTATACGTTAAATCATTTTTATTCATTAATTAAAGACAAATGCTCATTCACATGCTATTTTAATACAATTTTAATTCGGAAGCATACAACATGATCAAGAAACAGCAGAACCAATTAGGACTAGATTTTGACCAAAAATAAATAAATTAGGCCTAGATGCCACTGGCACGTTGCCATAACTTACAATGCCAATTAGGACTATTTAGCATTTTTTTTTTTTGCAAGGAGTTAGGATACTGTAAAGCTTATTTAGGTAAACTTTTGCCTCATCGGTGATTTGAGTATCAAGTTATTGAATATACTACAAATCCTATAATATCAGTTTGCTACAAAAAATAATATTTTACTAGCATGTGGTATTTGCGTACGAAATTTCAGAGGTAAATCAAATGCTTTTACTTATACTCTATATAATTTGAATAGTTTTTTAGCGAATATAACTATACTATGCAGGACTATCACTTTGTACAATTGAAACTAGCAAATTGTATATCAATCACAATTTAGATTTTGCTCGATACCTACGCAGTTGGTGAGTTCCATCAGTAACACTACATCAAACTTTTAATGTTGTTTCATACTTTTATCAACATGTATTTCAAAAATTTGTAGGTTTGAAAATGATACATGTGCTCGAAAATTAGTTATGCGGTTGAAGTCAAGCAATTTTACAACATCACAAGCATTGTTGATAGCAAATTCAAAGAGAATATGGATATCTGAATATACAATTATGCATATGGTAAATTTACTTTATTTAATTTAATTACTGCACAATTTTTTTAAATTTATAATCATAACAAATACCTTCTTTCATTCTTACTAGATTAAATATTTTCGAATTACTTGCTTACATTCAGAGCATTAACAAAGAAAACATGTTCTATGAGATATGCAAAAATTGTGGACAACTATGTGAAGGTTATTTTTCAAAAATAGTGTGTATGCATTGTAATGACGTGATCGACATTGTTGTTAGGTAATTAATTTCACGTACCTTTAATTTTAACAAATTTTTCTGTATTGTATATAACATTGTATTTGTCAAACAGGTACAATATTAACATACAAATCAAATATTTCAATGGTAACATGCATCTTAATCTACATGACAGACATGCACGATTTGTATTTGGTTGTGATGCTTCTTATTTTTAGAATTACAAAGGAAGGTAGAATTTCTTGATATATGTTTATTTTTTATAATGCTATTTATAAACTATGTAAAAACAATACACTAATTTTGAATTTCGCACGTACTTAATTCTCAGGACAATGGTGATAGGTTGTTCAACCAACGAATCAATTCATGCAAAGATCGTGCATTTTCATTTGTAGTACGCATTCCACAAAATTTAACAGAATTAATTAAATTACCAATTTTGGTTTTCGTATTAAAAGTTGATTGGTGTGAAGAGTGTTCGCACTTTCATGCAAGATTATCAAATTGAATACATAATATTTGTAAGTATTTCATTTTAACAACATTTAATTACATTCATTTTTATTCATATATCATTCATTTTCTAATATAAATTTCTATTATTTTTTCAAGATCTATCTTTCGAAAAAAGGTAATTTTTGAATAATATACACATTCTATCATATTTCAAACTATTGTTAGACAGATATTATATTTTAATTGTATTGGTACAATTTTTTTACCTTTTTTAATTTACCCTTTTATTTTCATTTTTCCAATAATGTCAGCACCATGCGTAGCACGGGTATTCATACTAGTTGTGTTAGTATTAGAAAACTTCCAAAATATCTTAACTGACAAATAGGTAGATTAGAGAGGCTTATTGATAAGTTAGTTTAAAAACCACATATAGGAAAGGTTTTACTTAGATAGTCTCTTCACTAAGACTTTGTTTGTTTGATAGGAAAATCGTATAAGAAAGTGTGTCATAGGAAAAGTGAAGCAAGGAAAAGGAAAAGGAAACTTTTCCACATTTGTTTGGTTAACAAGAAAATGATGCAACAAAATACAAAATCCTTGTGTTTGTTTAGCCGAAAAGTCATGGAAAATTGGCTACTATGTTCCTTAATAGAAAATATTCAATATTGAATTTCTCCTTTTTTTGGTATTTAATATGTAAAAACATCTAATTTTGCTGCATATTGGAAGAGTTGTTTACTTAAAAAATAATCACATTCTTTAATAATAAGTTTATGTGTGCGTGTGTGTAATATGTGTGTATAAGTTATTTAAAAAATATATAAATATAAAAAAGGAGCATTAAATGATTCAATAAATTACTAATTCATTAATTTTTAAAATAAGAATAGAATGTCTACCTACAAGCCAGCTGTTTGAATTGTAAATTCTAAGATATACTAATTTATGTAGAAGTTTAGAATGGAGGAAATAGTTTAGAAAAAAGAAGTTGTAAAAAAAACTAATTAGTTGAAACTTTCTTGTGACTTACTTTCCTATCAATTTCAGTAGGAAAAATTTTATAGGAAAATGAGTGATTACCGAAAAAATTTATGTGGTGGGTCCCATAAGTTTCCCGACAAACAAATATTCAAAATTTGTAGGAAAGTTATTTTCCTTCACTTTTCTTCCCTTTTCCCCACAAGCAAACATGGATTTAGCTCCTCTCTCCATTTCTCACAATACATATCTTGATTCATGACGTGTGTCTTTATTTACTAAAAAGGGACATGATCATTTTAAATTTGAGTAATCCTAACCATTATTAATAAATGAATATACATGTCATACATCCAAATGTGCACTATGCACTGCAGGAAATGAAAAAAAAATCCACTAGAAAGGAGCTAAGTCCAATAAATCCAATAAACACTTGAGTTTAATCTTGTTGCTGATTTAAACATTTGAACTAAATTAATAGATAAGCATTTTGGAAAGTGATGCATGTCATATTATCAACAAACTAACTGACAACTAGTATATATTATAGGTGGACAAGGGGTCGGAACGATTTGTCAGAAAATCGTTCGAATCGATTTTGTGTAAAATACACAATATATAATTTTGTATGCACACGGTGTAACTTACTTTCAA